GAATGCTGTTCCTCACACCTGATGAGCAGGAAAGGCTCCAGCAGGCTGCTTAGAGAGTTCCCAACATTGAGCTAATTTCTTTTGGCAGGTGATAATCAGCCTCTAGTTTTGATATCCCCTTAGTCTGAAAATGAGAAATTATTTATAACCTCACCAACTAATGGGAAGTCTGGTTTTAAGAACTAATTCTGGGATACCTCTTGCATGCTATGTGTTGTTTTGCTGATATTAGCAGGCAATATTTAGCAGCCTTTCAGGGACATGAAAACATAGAACTGAAAAATATCCTTCCATCATGGGGTTGATAAGTAAACTTGCACTATTGATTACATATCAGAGATTTTAATGCATCATATACAATTTAAATGCCCAATATTCAGCTTACCGCTTGTGAAACACAGGACACAGATACTTTTTTTTATAATTATGCTCTTTGTTGCTGCTGCAGAAAGCCATCCATGCAAATATTCACAGTTGCTAAGCTTCAGAACCTAAAGCCTCCCACATAGTCATCAGCAGAGAGCAGGAAAGGCCACAGGTTGGTACAAGGACTGAGCTTTTCCCTTTTTCCTTTGTGAACACATGCCCACATATTCCTCCCTCTTTGTTTTTTTGGTTTTTTTTCATTTTGGAGATGAAAAATTATGACAAATTAGTGATACATGACTGGCTAAATGAGAAGGTGCCACATCAAAAAAGAGTCACGTTTAGTTGACCTGTGCAGAATCTGAAACAAAAATGCCAGGAGAAAATATTCTACAAACAACATAATTTTAGGTTGTCCAAATCCTACTGTGTAAGACACAGGTTTTCCAAGAAGCATTTGATCTTTGCCTGACTTGAGACACTTTTGGAAGGTAAAAACTTGGTTTTGTTTTATTGTGCATTTTCTTTCAGAATATTATGGGCATGAACTAAAACTTTAGGCTTTTGCAGCAGCAGAGTTGATAATTCAGATGCAATTTTTTTTTCTTGAACTTTTTAATGCTTTATTCTCTGTTTGTAAGTAGATGTAAGCAAATGCTTAGCACGGGGAATGCTTAAAGGAACACATGCAATGCCCAATCAAGCCTGCTTTTGTACAGGAACCACAGAAAATAACAGAGGGAGAGAAAATTCCAGTTGCCTTTGGTATAGGTAAATTAGACAGCCTAAAACTGCTCTGGTGGGAACTACCTTGAGCAAATCAGCCACTGGTCAAGGAAGGTGTTTGGTAAAGATGCTGAACAGTGCTTAGAAGTCCCTTATGACTCCATTTTCCTGTCTTGTGTCAGCACCTGGTGAAGATACTGATGTCAGTGGCACTGTAATCATCCTTGACAAGATGAAATATGGCCTCCAAATTCCAAGAACATATGGGATTATTGAGAGGGAAAATTGTGTGAACAAGGGCAATTATAGCAATAACTATCCGTGACATATTACACGGAGCCATCCAAGCATAACATAGATATAATGAAAGTATTTTTAAAGGCAAACATGATGTAAACCAGTGCCAAAATTATCTAATTTATTATTCTGTCATGGATGATAAATGTTAATAACCTCTGTGTTTCACAGCAGAGCAAGAAAGCTTTCTTTTATGCATGCCTTGCTATATGATTTGAAGGGATACAAAGGTTTATTTGAATAGGTATGGAAAGAGGATGAAAAACCTTCCTCATCCAAATTCCAATCTTTAATTTTTCAGGATATAATTGCTCTAGTTATTTTCCATCACACACCCCACCACATCTACACACCTGTGCAGGAGGCAGCTGGCAGCCTATTAATCATCACAGAACCAGCTTTAACCTTGAAAACCTGAGCTGCAGGATTGCATCCCTCTGATGGAGCTGCTTGTCCATTGAGATGTAACATCTTTGGATTTACATTGTCCTTTTCAGGTAAAAGTGCAATAGTGGTAAAGTTTTAATACAAGATGCATCAGTTAAAGAAATCCCCATTTTTATAATTTGTTTCATTGTGACCCTTTGCCCTGCTACAGAGTGAAACCAGTCCTAGAGCCAAAGCTTCAGAATAATCTTAACAAATACAAAGTTCTTTTAGGAAATTAATATTTCTTATTTATTTGAGGGGAAAAAAACAACAAAACTGAATTATTTTACTGTTTACTGGCAAAGTCAGTCTCGCTACATTACCTATTTTTAAAACTCACATCTCATTCAATTAAGCTTTGATACTGTTGACAAAATGATGCTGTCCCGAAAAAAAATATTGCAATAGCTGCTATATACAAGCCCATAAATAAACTGCAAGATTTTCAAGCTTCAAAAGATTGAGGACAGGAAGAGATTGTTTAGAGATTCATTCGAACACTTCTTGTTCAGTACATTTGCTGCATTCAGTACCAACAAAAACACATTGAATCAAACAAAAAGAATGGTCTTAGATGGCAACATGTGGATTTTTTTACTGGTTTATCAAAAACAGAAGAAACCCCATCCCCAGTGCAGCATTATAAATACAGTGCTCCTGCTCCTGGGACACAACCAACAAGATAAACTCTTTCACGAGCCACGTTCAACAGTTAAATCACGGGATGCAGGTTATCCACAGTGGATCTCTGGAGATACAGGATAACAAATGCTCCCTCAACACACAATACATCTATGTCACATTCAAAAGGATAAAGCCAAATACATTTCCATGCTCGTCTTGTTTTTGGAGAACAATTTTAAAATAGGGCACACCTGGATGGAAAACTCATTCAGCCCTTTACGCCACTGTCATTTTGTGCTGTCATTGGTATGTCAGGGGTTTTTTCAAATGGATTTTGGGCAGTGACAGAGGTGACCAATAAACATCAGCACAGGAGGGAATGCAGGCAATGAAAATTACCTAGAGGGGAATACTCTCAAAATTAAGATTTTTAAAAAAAGCTTTTATTTGTTGTCTGGTTCACTCACAGAACTGTTTGTGCTATGATACAATGATCAGAAGAGAAGTGATCGAGGAGGGTTTCAATCTAAATCTCTGGTCACAGTGTAAAAAAACCAAAAACAAACCAAAAAAACAGACCCACAGTAAAAAAGCTCATTTGCTCCAGTACAAAAACTATGCTTAAATATGTTGTCTGCACACAATACAAACTCTGAACTCTGTTCTCACAGTACTGCTCTGTTACAATCTCCTGCATACATTCCAAGGGCTCCGTCCACTGTGTCTTTTGGGGCAAAAGAAAATATTTTCAGGCCACGAAAAGTCCATATATTTGCAGAGCTGAGACAGAGCAGTGCAGAAAAGGTAGGAAAAAGCCATACACAAAAGCCAAAATAAAGACATAGACATTTACACATTTAGCTTTTAGTGACCCTCCATTTGGAGTTAGTTGTCAACAGTTGGAGTTATTTAGCATTAGGAAACACGAGATTAAAGCCTATATATTTTATGCATGTATATGTGTGATATGCACTATGCCACATTCTGCTCTGTTCCAGCTGCAGAAATCCAGCATAGATTTGGTGCAAATAAGATAATTTCTTTAGAATGTTTTAATTTGTAGTCCCAGACTTACTTGGATGGGGTTTGGGGTTTCAGTTTGGGGACCACAACAAAAATTCTTGGCCAGGAAGGGGAAAGGGGAGAAAAGGTTGGTCCAAACAAAAAAGATAATTTTTCTTAGTGCAGGAAAGAAACATGAACAAAACTTAATTTGGGATCAAACAGAAATGAAATGCAGAAAGTTTTTCAAAATTTTCAATTCCATGTCTTTAGGATTAAACACTTCACCACATTCAGTCCCAATCGATGGATGTTTCCTGTTCCCTAAAGATCAATTTAATTTTATTTTATTTTTGATAAATTTACTATCCAGCAGAAAATTTCCACTCTGCACATTAGGATGTAAATACCTGTTCTCTTGGAAGTCAATAGCAGATATCTGGCTGGATTCACTGGGACCAGAAACGATCTGAGCTGCTGAAGGTACAAACATTTAATTCAGGTAAAAACAACAAAAAAAATCATCACAAAACCTCTTTGCAAAACGTGAGGCTGAAGATTTGCATATTTTTTGCTTGTTGTAGTACTTTGATACCTCAGTGTATTAGGAAAGCTAATTACCTTGGTGATTCCTCCAAACCAGTATACCCAGCCTGTTATGGGGAGAGCTACTCCAAACAAGGATGAGGTGGGGATAAGGAGACAAGGGGAGGGGAATCTCATCTTTGGAAATTTTTCTGGAGACCCTGGCTGCTAAGTCCTAGAGCAAGGAACACACTCAGGGACTCTGACCAGCCCCAGGACTTAAACCCTGCTTTCCTCCAGCTGGGGAAGGTGCGTGGTTGGCACAGCGAGGCTGAACTCCCTTGTGCTCCAAACACCACCCTGAGAACCTACAAAACACTGCTCCAAACAAACAGTAGAGTGTATTTTTTCTCCTTAGAGGTACTTCACAGCAGTACTAAAACAGCAGCTATTAAGTGCTGAGCAGAGTTTAAAACCACAGAGGAGACTGCAGAGACTTATTTAAAAGCTGTCTGTAGGTAACAATTCATAGACTTATTTGTAGGCTGGCTGTCTTCACAGTGTATCATTGTGTTTCATCTTTGTGGTAGGAATTCAGTGTCTTGAAAGGACCAGTAAAAGCAGGAAGATAAGTCACAGTGCCAGGTTTTGATTTCTAAAAGCTGCAGAGAGTTTAAGAAATGCACTTGATGGACAGCTGTTGATTGCATCCCAAGGCTCCAGGCAAAGCAGTGGAATAATTTGTATTGAGATATGTCAGCAGACACAAATCAGCAATACAGAGGCTCTGGGCTGCTAGAGGACAACCTTAGCCATTTCTGCCTCTGATAGAAAAGGTGTCAACAGGAAGATCTAAAATACTAATGGACCACATACAGGAGATTTACATGTTACGTGCGCTCTTTATGTGCATACAGACATATTTGTGTATTAGCTTTGCTAATCCATGCCCACACTGGGAGTGGAGTAGCTGGAACCTGCTTCTCCCTCAAGTCCTGGCTTCCCTGTAGCATTTAAATTAATCACCATACTATTTTGAATAAACTTCACTTCAATAACTGGATTCTGTAAGGTAATAAATGTAAACAGGGAGAGCACAGCGAGCCTGGAATAGCCCCATTACAACACCCCAATGGGAAGCATTTCATTTCAGGGCATAAAAATCCATCTTTCCAGAGGTATGTTGCCTTTCCTCAGTCCTGGGAGCTGGAATGATTCAGAGAGCAATAAGCCCTTTTTGCATACCTAGTGTTTTCATCATTGCTGACAAAACCATCCAGTGTATATTTGTGCTGGTTATTTTTACAGGTATTGCAAAGAGCCAAGGGGTGGAACATGCTACAGTTCTGAAGGCAAGCAGATGAGGGCTATTTACTCGACAAAACAACATGGCAATTCCCGATTTATTAGGCAGTGATTATAAAAAATAAAGCAGTTTTCTACTGTTACAAACAGTGAGAAAAAGCTGGTGGACGTGGTGTCAGAGGTCCTGAATGTATGGCTTGATTTTCTCCGAGGTGTCACTGGTGTCACTGTCACACTGCTGACAAATCAACACGGTTGGCTGAGTTGGTGCTTTTATCCCAGGTGTTCAGCTTGGTGGGGTTTGTGCCTGGCCTGTTCCCAGTCATCTGGAAAGCAAAATAGTATAGAAAATAGATTTATTTATTTCGCCAGACCACTCTTGCCCGGATGAAATAAAAGCTCTGAAAGCATCTCTTTACATTACAGTGTTGTCACAGGGGCTTGGGAGCATATGCCATAAAGGATTTTTGAACAGTTTATTGCCAGGATCTAAGGTGATTGGCAATGATAACTTAATAATGTCTATCACTTCAGGTGTCTGGTTCTTCATAAAAACAAATGTCTTTTGCCTCTAGGCAATTTAAGGAGAAGGATAAAAGCGTATTTACGTGTTGCCTTAAGAGTTCATCCCTCAGGTTTAAATGTAAGAATGCCCTATCAAAAAACCATCATCATCATCGGAGCAATACACTGCTGGAATGCAAAGGTCCATTACAATTGGTGGGAATGATCTGATTGAACTCCAGAGTTCATAAATTACACTCCAGGGTTCATAAACCTCTGTTTACTTTTATTTGATAGTTTACCAGAAAGCAGAATTTTGTCCTTTGCTTTCAAAACAGGTATTGTAGCTGCAACTTAATGCTTGCTGATTCCACCTGTCTACACCATGCATTAGGTTAGGACTAAAAATACATATTTGCCTTTTCACGTCCTGTTCTTTCCAACAGAATTTAATGTGGAACACTTTCAAATAAAAAGGGGGGGGGGAAAGGAGGAATACTCACAATGTCTGAATTGAAGGGTTTCACATTGATGTTACGAGTGGAACTACTGGTGAGGGACCAGACCTTGGTTTTGTGCTTAAAGGCAGCTCTGACCTATGGGGGGAAAAGTGAAACCAGGTAGAAGATTTCCTTTGTAAAAGTTATGTTCATTTTCACAGGGGGAGCCTACAATCGTTTCCCCGTTATCCTTCCTCCACATCAACGTCACTGTGCTAATAAACAAGAAAAAATCCACCTCTCCACACTTTTCTTTATATTTATGGTCTTATTTTAAAATTTAACTTTACTTTTCCGAGATGTGACCATTCATCTCATTAAAAAAAAAAAAAGAAAATAATAAAAGTAAAAAAACCCAGTGCATATAAACATACATTCCCAGCATTTGCAGTCCTGGTTTGAACAGTTTCATGAAGTGCCACTGTACTGATTTCAGCAGCTCACCAGGACATTTGCACATTTTCTAACTAAATATACAGCCCCAGGCTGGACCACAAGGTCCCCTGTTCAGGCAGGCTCTCCCTGGAGCTCACACAGCCCTGATATATCCAGATGCCACAAGGATGTAAACCAGCTGCCAGCCCGTTGTAAACCGAATTATTTAAAGATGTAACTCCCTAGAGATGTAGGAATATTCTTCACCACGGTGAAAATAATCAGCTGCACAAAGAAAGGATGGTGGGACAGGCATTCTTTAGGCAAATAGGTGAGATTTATCTGGGATTATTGGCTGGAAGTGAGTGAACAGTGTTATGATGTTGAGATCAAGAACAACTTTTCAGACTATCTTGGTTCATTCTGCTGTGCTTCTTTATAATACGTGTGCATTTCTCTTTGGGTGCACTGGGAATAAAACCCGTTTTTACCCAAGTACTTCTACACCCAATCTACAGATTTCTCTGTACAATACCTGAGTTTTACCTCTACAGTAAGAAAGATATTCTCGAGAAGAGTTCCTGCTGCTTGGCTGAAGAAATATTTTAGACATGCACAGCCTATGATGGAGCCAGTAAGGCTTGCTCTCCAAAAATGACAGCTCACATCAGCCATGTGTAAACTGGTTTTTGAGGATATAAATTCTGAAAAGTTTCTGAATTTAATTCCTCATGAGCTTCAGCAATTCAAATATTTGTATTTGATATAAAATATCTGAAGCTTCAAGTTTTCTAAGCCCTGGGGGAGAACGGAATGAAGAAATATTTTTCCTCCCTCCCTTTAAAGCTGCCTGCTTAATTTGAGTTGATCTCAGAAAAGATCAAGTCAGTCCTGACTCTCCAAACTGATTGTGGCAGAAATCACATCAAATGATGCTCTGAGGCTGAATAGTTTGGCAAATAGTAATAAATAATATCTCCAGGGAAGAGCTGGAGTGCTACTGTCACATAGGAAGCAGCAGCAGGTTATGGGGCAGAGCTACTCATCACATCCAGAAGAAAGAACTGGGGGAGAACCAGAGCTGTTTGTGCCTTCACAGTACCCCTGGCAGCGTGCTGGAAATGGTTCTCATAAGAAACATTTGTTATCAGCAATACATGATGCTGAGCAGCATTTTCTGCTCTCTGTCACAGGAGGAGGGGATGCTGCAAGCCCCATTTACATCAACCTTGCCCTGGCTTTATCCCAGTTGCTCTAACACAGCCTTGATGCAAAAAGATGCCTCAGTCCACTAGGAAAACCTGAGCTTCCTGCCAAGAAAAATACCTGGAATATCTCCTACTCTGTTTGGTTTCCCATGAAGGGCTGCATGAGCAACGTCCAAAAGTATGTTTTGCTGAGAATAATTATTTTCCTCTCCGGAGCTGCAGACATAACAGAGCCCCAACAGGGACTGCCAGAGTGAGTCCTGCTCCCATTTTTTAAGCATCCTCTCTTTGCAGTGCAGTGGGTGCCCTGCTCAGCCCCTCCAGCCCTCAGGAGAGCTTCTCTCCTTAGTCTGAAACTGCCTCCTCTTATCCTTTTTATTTGTTTCAAACCTTTCTTAAATGCTAATTAAAACAAATGTCAAGCACGGGCCAAAATGCCAGGAGTTACAAAGCCAGTAACAGTCATGTATTAATTAAAAGGCAATCAGTGACAGAGCAGACAACAATAATGGGGAGTCTGTTCTAGTTCTGCACTTACATTCTTTCAAGGTGTTAACACCAAATTTGTTGACACCATTTGGTTACATACCTCTGAGTTCAGAAGACAGTGAAACAGGAACATGAAAAATCCCTGGAAACGGATAAAAGGGAGAAGGGTGAGGTCTGGCTGTGAAGAATCAAATCCAGCAATGTCATACAGAGCAGTTATTGGGTAGCTGGAGATCTATAAATATCACAGGGTGCACTAAACTGTGCCCTGAGTGACACTGCAGAGACCAGCAGCATTAGGTAACTATGAGGCTTGTCTGGAACTCTTCCTGTAAGAAAGCACCTCCTAAACTTCCAGTATTAAAGGAAAAAATCTGGCTAAAAATAGGCAGGAATTCCATTTTCATGACAACAAGAGAACTTTTTGTTTGTGCTTGCAAAGACCAGGGCAGAGGGAGGTGCTATTTGGGAAACACCAGATCAGTATTTTCCACACTAGAAAAGCACTAGGAGAATTTTCAAAGCAGAATTTTGCTATCTGTGGGCTTTTTGTCCAATGCAAAGTGAAAAAGTCCCATCCTCTTTTCCTCCCAGAATAATTCTATATTTTTGGGGGGGAGTATTCAGCCAAACTTACTTTTTTTTTTGTTATTTTGGATGAAAATCGAAACTTTTCTTATCAGCTTATGGGCAGAACCCCATTTCACTCTTTTTGTGTCCACGAGACAAAATAAAGGATTTACAGGAGTTTATTTGATTCCTCTTTGTAATTATTATTTGGGAAAGAACTGTAACACACCTATAGGTTTAGGCCTCTACCGAAATATCTGCTTAAAGCTGAGCAGATATTTACATTCCTTCTTGGACAGAGCTATTTTTCTGGATTGGTGTAGCAGGAAGATGAGGGTCTAGTTGCCTGCATGCAAGAGCCATGTGCTCCACTTTTGATCTTTCCCACAAACTTCTGTTCACTTTCATTCAGCCTCAGTAATGAGGCCTTAAATTGACAGTGAAAAATTGGCCTGGTATCTCTGCTGAAGAATCCTGCCCGTGGTACACGGCCCAGGAAGAATAAATTTCATTTCTCAAGCTCACTGTCTCATTTATTTAATTATTGCTACTGGAAACACTAAGGAGTGGGATGGATACAAGTTCTGTTCAGAGACAAGCTATTGCCAGCACTGTGTGGTCAACACAGGCTTAAAAGACAGAGGAAGGAAAACACAGGAAAAAAAAATGCAATAAGCACAAGCATTGGAAAACGTTACTAATGATCCATTTAATTGGATCTCGGCACCAGTTCTGTAGCCAGAAACCTTCCCACCAGGTACTTACTTGTAGTGAATTGAACACAGCAAATATATACTGAAATACTAATGTGTGGGCATTGACAGCCAAAATCCCAAAGATCCACGAGCTTCCCAGGATGGGTAAGAGAACAGCGACGGCTTTGGCTGTCAGTCTGAAAGAGAGAATGAGAACAGCAAATGTGGAGAGACAGTCAGATTTCAGCCCCCATGATGGGTGTAGCTCTCTTTGCCATGAAATTCTTTTCACAGGCAAACCTTTTAATTGTTTTTTTTTCGTCTCTGGAAATATGCATAACAGAATCTTGGTATCACATGGGATTAATATAGATGGGGAGTCAATAACTGAGGGTGCTGGGGAAGAGATGGAGAGATGGTCCTAAAACTGTTGCAGTCATATCTTCAGTTTACAGAGAAGTATGGTTTTGTCACCAAGGATGCAATTGTAAGAGGGCAGAAACAGGAAAAACTAAATCCACTGTATAGCACATCCAAAATATATATGCTCAGTATACAGTTGAGTCAAGAAAACACGGTATTTCCCTTACAGAAAGTGGCTTGGGATTTTTGATTGCCACAAATGGGAATAAACATGTAACTCTGCCAAATGCAAATCCCCTAACACCTCAGCATTATTCTGCTACCACCCTGCCTCGTTCAGAGTTGATTCAGAGAAAAGTACATCAAATATTTAAATAGCTTGTGTTTCTTGGAGATCCCTACTGATATATGTTCACTCTGCTTAGTCTGGAGGAACTTGGCAGAATTTCAGTGGAAGGTGGTATGACAGCTGGAAAGTTAATAGCACTGAGAATATAAGAGGGATTTTTGGTTTTGCCTTAATGAGTTATGTACAGGGTGTTTATTATGTCCAGGGTGTTTGTTATGGTGGCAGATGAATTGAGAATTCAATTGAGAATCAGAGAATTAAACAATCACGGAAAGTTTTTTGCAGCAGCTGAATTCCGTGGAGCAGATTTTATATAAAGACTAAACAAAGGGAACCACAGAGAAAATAAAGGCTTTGGGTTCAGAATTGTGAGGTCACAGTGAGATCTCCTGAGTGTATCCGTAGCTGTCTCCATCAAACACCAAAGAACCACTTTCCACTTCCTTCATCTGCAAGAGGAATTAGGGGCAACCAAACCTCCCTGAGACATCAGGACCCTGTAGCAGAGGTTTGGGCAACACCTGCATCCATTTTCTGCTCTAATCCAGCAGAAATCTAATCTAATCTACACTTGTAAAACTGTCTTCATTGCAAACCACCCTTTTTTCTTCTTCTTCTTTCTTTTATTCTCACACTCTCCGTTTTTATATATTTTTCAGCTTGGAATATAATTTTCCCCAGCTGGTTTGTTGCCAAAAGTGTTTTCAAATGTTTGGTTTTGAGTCAGAGCATAAAAAGCTTCATCTGTAATTTGTAGTTGGGGGCAGAATAGAATCAGGCCCTCAATTTCAATATTTTCAAAACCATTCTTACGGAGTGGATTTTTAGAGGCCTTTAACATCACAAATGTCTCATATACTTTTAAAAATCATGTATTAATAAAGACTGCTCGCTACTAAGCCCAGAGTTCAGCACATGTGCAGCAGAAATTCATAGCTAAAAATGAAAATAGAATACAGACATGGGATTTTCCTTGCAGAAGTATTAATGTTTCATGCACACTCATTTAGACGAGCAGCCATGTGAGGGTGAAATTCATTTAAGACTGTCTAAGGGTCAGCTCTGCATATGATTCACTTAAATCTCATTAGTTTTTTTCCTAATTATTGCATAATTTTCTATGCTTACATGCTCTGAATTTCATCCTACATATGACTTTATTCATTCAAGACATTTATAAGCTTTACTCACCAATCAAAGGACTCAGCTCTATTGTTTATGGTGCTCTTTTATTTTCTTCCACTTACCCCTCCCCTTCCCACCCTTATTTCTTTTTATCTTTGAACTTTAAAAAAGAAAAATACTAACTGTAAAATGCTGTGTCAGAACACCATTAAGGTAGCAAGGTTAAAAAATCTTAGAAATACTAAAGTTAATGTTCCACTAGGTACATTAATTCTGACACTCTGCACATACTTTATTTTTTTTCTTATTCCCATTCCCATTTTTCTTTTCCACATGAATATTTTAGCAGATTAGTTCTAGTACACTAAGATATAGAGCACAATCAAATAGATGTTGTTTTTGGAGAAGGAATACTTCTCCATGCATGACTTAAGCTGTGCAACCTAAAAAAAAAAGTCACTAGCATCACTTGAGCTTTATATTGTCTATAAAGTGGGTGACATGAAGCAATAATTTGGGGCAGGAGCAGGTCTTACTTTGCAGATACTGAGGTTCAGCCCCACTAGGACTTCAAAAACCCTGCTAAAATCTTTCTTTGTTCTTGTGCCCAAATGTGTCAGAAAACAGAATGGCCACTGCTTTAGAAAGGACCCTCTAAATTTCTCCTGTGTGCTCGTTCTCATGCTCTGGCCTTTGAAATCAGAAGGAACCCAACAGCCTGTTTCTCACACACACTTTTAAAAGCTCAGATATTGTCACTCCTCTGCAGTCTAACAGCACCAAATTAGGTGAACTTTTGGTCTCTCTGCACCTAAATACACTGAAGGATCAGTCCCGGAATTAATTAATTTGTAACAAAGCAAAACAAGTGTAAAAAATTTCTTTTCTCTTTTCTATTGTTTTATCTTGCCTATCTATATATACATATATTTAAGTATAGAGCTGTTATTACTTGGACAACCTCTGGAAAACACAAAAACACTTTGAGTCTGAATAAATTTTTATATCTAGAGTACCTGGAAAAGCCTTTGGGGTATTATTAGCTGTACATAGCCTATCTACCAATTCAGTTTATGGTTCAGGGTTGTTCTCACTCTGCCCCAACACCAAGAATCTCTTTGGTTGGGTCACAGAGACTTCTTTGGCACAACTTGTTCAGATTTGCCAGCTTTTCCAAGCTGAAAAGCAACCATGAATTAGTGCTGCACAGCACCACATCCTCTGCCATCAGAGGCTGCTCTGCAGATGTGGCAGGTCCTTGTAAATCCACACATAATCCCAGCACTCACAGTGGAATCCCACTTTCAGAGGGCCAAGGTGGAGTCTTTTAAATATCCTTAGACACATTATCCATTAATTTCTAAGCTATCCATTTAACATGCATTCACCCTTTTAATTTCCAGCTGAAAAAAAAGTGGTTTTCTTTCCTTTTCCTCTTCCCTTTTCCTCCTCTTACACCTTAATTCTAATTCCTGAGAGGTAAACCCTGCTCATCAGAGATCTTCCCCTCCGAATTTCTTCGACCGGTTTTTTTTTCAGTTGCTTCTGTTTTAACATTCAGTCCAGCGCAGGATTTTGATGTTTTCTGTACATCTTGCTCAGTCAGAGCCAGGCATTTTACTCCAGCTGCAATCCTGGAGTGTGCACTGATCAATCAGCAGAGGAAGGGAAGTTTTCCGAGTTGGACAATTATCACGGCTGCGTTGAAGCCCCGGTGTGAAAGAACTACAGCTTTCAGCACCTCTGAGACGTATTTTCATTACCAGCATCCTATAAAATCATTGCACTGTTACTAAAGTTACCAGGGACGTTTTTCCAAGAGCACAGTTGGGCCTTCCAGTTTTATTGTATTTGCAATTGGTGTGGAACAGCTCTGCTCAATTGTGATTGCTCCCTTCCCCTTAGTTAATCTCTGCCCTTTTCTGCTGTTGCCCCGAGCACACTGTCGATACCTCACACCAAGGCAGAACGACTCCACTGACAGCTTACAAGAGAGAAATTTCACTGCTCGCAGAAAGAAAACTTTATTACTTCTGTGAAGGGGGCCCCCTAATTCACAAATCAATTTTATTGGTTCTATGTGGAGCACTAATCCTTTTAAGACTTCTGACATCCACTTTTCAGCCCTGATGCCTGTTGAAGTAAGAACTAAATTCAGACCCATAAGCCAAGATTATGTAATCATTGGAGGAAATGCTGTCTAAAAAAGAAAGGCAGAAATCCTTCACCACAATTCACCCAAATTGATAAGTTGACAAATAAGTCTTTTAACTGAAGTTTCTCTCTTGTTTCTTGAACTCCTCACAAGTCACTTCCAGCAAGATCCTTTGTGCTTGGTATAAAATAAATAAATCCCCAGACCAGTAAATAACATTTCGGACTAATGCCTGGAAAAATGGAATTAACCTTCGGTTTCCCATTTGTAACAAGCAGAACTCATCCATTTCTAAGCTGGAAGCTGGAGAGCTGCTGGGAAGCCACAGGCAGCAATTCTGCCTGTGAATGGAAATGTTTTTCATGCAAGTTCAGCACACACCTTGTCTGAGGGACAGCAGGCTGGTGTCAGAGGAACAGCAGGTCTCTGACCACGAGAGCACCCTGTGCTGCTGCTCACTTTGCTCCCTGGAGCTCCTTTTGTTGCTCCAAGGAGCAAAACCAACACCAAGAAGGTTTAGGTGGTGACTTGTCACCGATGTCAAACAGACAGATGGAAGGATATTGGTAACAACTCATATTTTTTAGGGAACTAAATAGCAATAAAAGCGCAGGGCTGATCCACAGCCACTGATACCATCAGGAATCTAGAGGAATGAGCTTCCTCGGGCTCCTCGAGAGAAAAATGAAGTCTTGGCAGAGTAATGCACTGAGGGTGGTGTGAGCTGCTCAGCAGAGCAGCCAAAGCTCGGGCCCATTTTGAACTTAGCAACCAATTTACTCCCCACGCTGCACCAAGTGACATCAGAGGAGGTGTTGGGGGGTTTCACTAAAAGAAATTAATCTCTGAACTCTGCCAGACATCTTGATCTAGTGGGTAGAGCTCTCACCTTAGAAAGGACAGGCATGGATTTTACTTCTGCTCCTGACACCAAGCAGTAGCTCATGAACTCCTGCAAATATACCTGTACCTCCTTCTCCTCCTCCACTTTGTCTTGGCTGTATGGACAATAAGGCTGATGGCACAAGGAATGGCTTTTAATTAGCACATACATGTTTCCTTGCCTAATCTTGGGTGACTTCTAGGCTCAACTGTAAATTAAAAAAATAATAATAATAAAAAAAAGACAAAGGTACTGGTAATTGCAGAGGCCATTTCCCATTTTCCCAAATGTTATTTGCACTTTCAAAATAATGCTGTGAAAC